TGAGACAGGGACACTGAGTGGACTGGTTATGTTCTACAGTGAGACAGGGACACTGAGTGGACTGGTTATGTTCTACAGTGAGACAGGGACACTGAGTGGTCTGGTTATGTTCTACAGTGAGACAGGGACACTGAGTGGACTGGTTATGTTCTACAGTGAGACAGGGACACTGAGTGGACCGGTTATGTTCTACAATGAGACAGGGACACTGAGTGGACTGGTTATAGATTTCAAATTGGTTATATTTTGCATTGAGCATTCACGAGAAGAGAACTTGTATTCACAACAGATTGTGGAGGTCTTTTAATGCAGAAGACTGACGTTCAGGAAAGCTTTAACTACTACTACAGTGCATTTCCTAACAATGTCTTGTTTTGTCTGTGTTTGTATTTGTTGGGATTAAGTTGTTTATACATATCCCCCTTTTTTCTTTTATCCGCTGTCAATTTAGAGGAGCCAGCTATTTTGTTTATTTTGGTTAATATTGCTGCATAATGTCCATGGCTACTCATGTTTATAATGATCTATTATGAGTTGTTTTCACAGGCTGTAAAGCACCTGATTGATATGTCTCTGCTGTTTTTGGTGCAGGAAGTTATTTATACATCAAAGTACCAATGTATGTATGCATGGTAACCTTGAAGATCTTACTTGATTGAATAGTTTTATCATTTTTATCACTCTGTGACATGTGTACCTTGTGCAGGGCTTCTCTTTACCAGCAGAGGGGGCAACCATATAAACAACTAAAAGTGGAGCCACAAGCTGCTCTCCAAAGTGCTGATTCAGAGGATTACTGTCAGTCAAAACTGCCACATTCAAAAACTAAAAATCTACAGTGGGTACTGTGAGCAGAGCTTATACCATATATATACAGATTCCTTATGAGCAGATACTGGTCCGACCACAGGATATGCTCTGGGTCAGGTGTCATGAGAACTGGGCTGCTGGTCCAGACCAGACAGGACTGAACCCGGGAGCCGTTGACCTCTCACGGGAAATGCAAGAAAAGTAATGAGTCTCAATAGACCATGGACTGGAGATGGCTATTTTCAGACACAATAGCCACCATTCAAAACACACATTCATGCCAGTATTTATGCATCTGGGAGAACAGCAGCTCAGCAATGTCAGAATAAGTCTTGAAACCACTTCTTCAGAGGTGTTTACTGACCACGAACAGTTTACTTATCCTTGGTTACTGTACATACCTCTAGATATCTTGTTCGTGTGGAGTTCAACTTTGATGGACTTTAACCTGCGGTCTTAGCTTTGCATTTGTGTATGTGTGGGCGTTCCCTAAAGAGTGAAAGACAATTTAGTGCATGAGAGACAACTGCACTGCATGACACTTGTAGGTATGTATACAACTACAGCTGAAAATATGAGGTCCGACTTTCTGCATGGATGGTTAAATGACAATGGTGAGAGCAAGTACTGCAAATAGAGCTGCACACAGCCACACAATGCAGCCCAGTTAAACACCAAGTTAAGGAGCTCTTATGATTAAATATTGGTCTTAATATGTGATACACATGATTCCAAATGAATGCTCATGTTGTAAGGTGACAGTTTCTTTACAGTTTGTTCTGCTGCCCACAAAATAACCCCACCCCCTCCACAAAAAAGTATTATGTAATGAATCCAATTGTTCAGTTCATGGATTATATCTAACTCAAGTGATCATGCATCAATTATTTATTTTTAATTTAGTTAATTTATTATTTTTTTTATATTTTAAGTCATTTATCTAGCACAAATAGTGAGCTCTCAGAATCTTAAAGGTCCAGTGTGTAAGATTTAGGTGAAAGGGATCTATTGGCAGAAATGTAATGTAGAATAATCCTCATGATGTTTTCACTAGTTCATTTCATCTAAATTGTATGAACTGTAGTTTTCTTTACCCCAGAAAAGGCCCTTTATATTTAAATACTTTATATTTACATCAAGGGGACCCTCTCTATGGAGGCCGCCATGTTTTTTATAGTAGCCCAGACTGGACAAACTAAACACCTTTTGAGTTTTTATGACAATTAAAGGCTACCACAGGTTCTTTATCATGTTTGGAAGGAGAGGGTGAGGTGAGGGGTGTTCAGAAACATGAAATTTCAACACTAAATATCACAAAATTCTACACACTGTACCTTTAAGCGTCATAAATGTGAAGATTCATTCTTTTCTTCTGTTGCTCTAATATGAAAATCTTTGGGTTTTGGGGCTTTTAGTATAAGAACCATGAAATTTGGAGTCATCGCCCAGAGCACAGGGGAACATCATTATGATATTATTAAAAATAGATGAATCACTAATTAAAATAATTGTTAGTTGCAGTCTTTTGAGAAACCTGACCCCTCTGTGCCCTAAGCTCACACTTAGACAAAGATATAGTCATAAAAACAAGGAATCAGGCTCTACTGTACTTCTTCAGCAAACATAAAACTTCCACCACAGACAAAGGAGCGGGTCAACATCGCTTGCCAATGAACACAGAGGATATGACCGCCATGTCCAGCACACGCAAAATGACCTTAAAGCTAAAACGGATGAGTCTTTTTATAGTCCCCATTAACAGACAATTAGCCTTGTCTGTTACATCATGTCAGACAAGGTTTTATAGGCGATGTGAAGATTTCTCTGGCCCGATAAGCTTCACTGACCTGCGGCGGCCGTGACTTGGAGGTCCCATGTGACTCAGAAGGAAGTTGACAGACATGGGTTGGAGCTCAGCACAGTAGACATTAAAGACTGCAGTGGGCTTCTCCAAAAGAATCATCGCGTGTGAGTCAACTTCCTGTATTGCAGGGGTTGACTTCATGTTCGGCCTGTTTGGGGGCCTTCGAGGATCCCATGGGAGATGATGAAACACCAGCTCATCAGAAGTAGCTTCAGGGTGTTTATTTTCAAGGTGGAATGAATGACCAACATCAGGACATGATTCCATTTCATATGTAAAGACAAATAGGAATCTTAAAATGATTAATTAGCAACGTTTAGTTCCATATCGTCTTCATAATAAGAGGTGAGACAAAGCCCGGATGTGACTGGGGCCATTTGTTGAACTTCTCCTGACACATCACTCCACCTGTCCCGGTTCCTCAAACGGAGCAGTGAAAGACGATCAGTGTCCTCAGGAGAGGAAAAATGTGGAGAAGGGCAGTGGGGTGGGAGGAAGATGAGCAGAGTCTTATCTAGAGGTCACACAAAGGGTCACATGAAAGATAATACTGTTGCTACCAGTCTGGGGGGGTGTTACAGTAGCTTTGCTGTCCATGAGAAGGGTCAACTCATTTACCTCTGAAGCTGTCTGGTCTGATGAATGTGTCATTCATGGAGTATAATTCTGCTTTTAAAGTTTTGAAGAACATCACATCAGCAGCCGAACCCAACTCTAAAACACCTAAAAGACTTCAATAATGCAGCAGTCACTATAGATGGTTGTTATTCTGCAAGAAGCTTTGAACATTTTGTTCTGTATCAACATGTTTGTGACTTCCTAAATATGTAAATTAACAACATATCCTCATTGTCTTCAGAGAAAAGATCACACTTAAGTTTCACACAAAACGTATGAGCTGTTGAGTTACATATCTTTTAGGAAAACCCATCAGGTTGTAGAGACAAAAATGTTTTAGTAAGATTAATTAAAAACACTGCTAAAATGTTGATAGTAATCTCTTATTACTCAGGAAGACTCAAAACACACAAGTACAGCGAGTAGAGTGGGTCAAAGATCACGAACTGGGTCTGTGAACTGTAAATTGTCAGCAAGGTCTTTCCATCGACAGGGCTGCTGGTCACTGGATTTCTTTATTTCTTTATTTTTTGGCTCAATTCTGCAGAGACTGGAAACCTCAGGAGATCAACTCTCT